TAAAATATTGTGATGTATTGTTGCCTGTGCTCTTCTTGTTTAACTTGAAGAATTGAGGTCTTTTTATCTTTACTCCCCAACCACCTGAATAAATTCAGGTGGTTGGCCAGCCTTCATATTTTGTAGTCACTGAGAATCTAACAGGAAGCTTAATTGCCTTTTTTGTAGTCTGCCAGATAGCGCTGAGACTCGTCGCGGACGAGCTATTCTTAGGCTTTCTTCGCATAGTTTACCCATCGATTGACAAGTTGCTAGCGGGCTGTGGGAATACATTACGAGCCCTAGTTTTGGAGGCGTTCAACAAGCGGAAGGAACACCTAAAGGGAGTCCTGGCACGGTCAGTCAGCAAGATTCACTTCTCCTTTGACCTTTGGACCATACTTGGGCATTGTAGAGCTCCCTCTACCCACTCTACCCGGGTAGGGCAGAGGAGGCATGTCCTCTACTCTACCCAGGTAGAGTAGAGTAGAAGTGGGTAGGGCTACCCACTCTACCCACCCCTGATTGGTTAATTAGATCTTGTCATTTGATAAGATTGCACGATTATGGATGCTGAAGTCCTTGGAGAGTCGTCTAGTTTTATTGATTCTGCTCAATATATATACTGTGGTGACCTCTCAAGTGAGTTCAGATGCCACCGAACATGCTGCTACTACCGGCACCCACAATAAGATGTTGTTTGATACTCAATCTATCAACCATCGCGGCTTCATTACCTTACTTAACATTGCTTTTTATAATGCTGCGTTGCGGCATCGGTATGAAACGACTCCTCGTCTTGGGATTGTCTCAGACATGGTTCTCTGTTACAGCTTCGCCGCTTTGGCGAAGCTGCTTTAAGATAAATAGCCGTATTCATTCATTTCTTTCATTGCCTTTGCACAACTAGACTCGATTTTATGTGGCTCCAAAACTTTCCGCGTCTGACGCAATCTTTCTTATATAGATCTTTAACCATGTCATTCTCACAGGATTCATTATCCCTTCCCGTCCCTACAACGCCCTCCACGCTGACCGTCCCCATGCCGGCGCCTAGTGTTGCTTCCAGTGCTCCTCCGAGTATTGCCTCGATTCCCGCCGAGAAACCGTCAATCTGGACCTTCTTTCGATATGCCAGAGGTTCAGAGCCCGAATTCAGGCCAAAGGAGAGATTTGATCGAAGTGGGAAGTCCTCAAATAAACGACTGCACTACTGTATCGCCTGTTGGGACAATAAGAAGAAGAGTTGGAGTACAATATACACATCAGGAGCCCGGGACCATCTTCGTCGCAATCACCCATCTTTGTGGAGGAGATGGCTGGATCTGGAAGACCTGCAAACCTCCCCCAAGTCTAAATTAATGAATGGACAGCAGGTCATGAATTCGTTTTTGCTTCAAAAGGATGAGGCTTCGAGAGAAATGCTCCTTCGAGAGGCTTATGACCGGCCACGGCATCTCCAGGCGTTGCTGGCACTCTGTGCTAGAAGGAGACTTCCTCTCAATGCCATTGACTGGCCAGAACTCCATGATCTCCTCCTCTCCGCTAATCCAGAGATCTCAGATCTTGCACACTTTAGCAGAAGAACATTCACTCGTGCCCTGGTTCTCAACTACGAGAGATATCGTCAAATACTCCAAAATAACATCCAGGAAGCTATTGGTGATGTCCATATATCAACAGATATGTGGACATCTCCAGCCCGAAAGGCATACCTCTGCATCTGTGTTAGGTGGATCTCTCAGGATTTCCAGTTCAAACACGGGATGCTGGCACTTCCACAGGTGCTCTTTAGTCACTCTGGAGATGTTCAGGCGGCTACCATCCTCCGCACCCTTAAATCCTTCGGGATAACAACTAAACTCGGCTATCACACTGGAGATAACGCCACTTCGAATGATACTCTACTCAAAGAGCTCTCTCGGTCTCTAAAACTTGAATTTGGGGTTTGTATAAATGCATTGGCTTTTAGATGCTCATTCGCTTATCTCAAACAGATTGATTATGATCCAATTACCCACCGCATCCGCTGCCTTGATCACATTCTTAACCTTGCCCTTCAAGCTTCTCTCCTTGCAAGCTCAAAGGAAGCTCTCAAAGCTGCTCTTGCGGCTATCGAACAGACGGAAGATACCGACCCTTACGAGCTATTCTCCGCCTACCTTGATGTACCGGTCGTTGAAGATAGCCCGGCCTCAGTAAGAGCTCATGGACAAGCCCAGAGAAGAAGGGCTAAGGTTAAGGCGAAGAAAAGGGTTTTGAAGGCTGGGGTGCTACTACTGCACTCCAGAAGCTTCATAACCTAGCTGTGTGGCTTCGAAACAGCTCTATCCATCACGATCAATGGATAGAGGCTGTGGGCATTACATTAGGGATTGATAACGACACTCGGTGGTCCTCATGGTATCATCTCATCAAGCGTACGACACGCAAGGAGCGAGAAATTAAGGACTTCATCGATAAATACCCTGAGTGCGATAGCTTTCGACTCAATGGAGTTGAGTGTAACGGTCCAAGCTGAGTATATTGACAACTAGCTAGGCGACTCCTACGAGTATCTAAACGCTAAAGAAGAAAGGAAAAGAGAACAAGAAAAGGAGAGCTCGAGGAGCTCTTGAGCTCCTGGGCTCGACACGTGGTTAATCTCGCTTATGGATGGGTCCCGGCCGGGGGCCGGGGCCGAAGGCGAGAGTGCAAGCGGAGCCATATCGGGCTCAGCCCGTTACATTGAGTGCGATACCCTTAAGCGTACAGAGAAGTTTCTCTCCGTATCTGCTAGCGGCACACTATGGGTTGAAGGTAGTGAGGCTTCATTATCCCAGAGCCTTACGCTGATGGATGCTATCCTCACCTTCTTCGAGGATCAGAAGGTTTATTCTATTTCGTCAAGAATAATGGGTAATGCTGATGTTTTATAGGTGCTATATAAATCGGGCCCAGAGAAGGACCTCCGCATGGTTCATTCTATTGAGATGGGCTGGTTTATCCTTGACAAATACTACGCCCTCCTTGAGTCGACGCCAGCATATGCCGCCGCGATGCTTCTCGATCCCTCGAAGCGGAAGCATTATCTTCTTCAAAACTGGCCAGAGGAGTGGCATCAAAAGACTATTGATGCTGCTAATTCGATTTGGCAAAAGGAATATGTGCACCTCACTCATGAATCAATCCCTGCCGCTGCTGTAGCTGATATTGATACGTCTAATCCATCGTCGAAAAAGAGGATAGAGAATGAATTAGACCGACTAAAACTTCGTCTAAGAGTTCAGCCTACTCCGCAAGAGGATGAAGATACGTTTATGGCATTTATTAAAGATAAAACCATCGATCTTGATGCTCTAAAGATAACTCCTCTTCAGTGGTGGTTGGCTCCAGAGCAGCGCCGGCGCTATCCTCGTCTCCACCGTATGGCCATCAATATCCTCTCAATCCCCCCCTCATCTGCTGAGCCAGAACAACAATTCTCAGGCGCACGACGTACACAGAGCTGGGATAGGCTTAGGTTATCGCCACAGAACCTCCAGAGGTTAGAGTGCATGGGCAACTGGTTTGCGAGGAAGCTCATCTCTTCGGAGGAGCTGCTAGCGATGATTGTAGAGGCTGTGGAGATGGATGATGAGATGGATATTGATTTTGATGAAGAGGATTGGGATATGATATAAAGAGGCAATATGTCGAGGAATTGAGCATATATGCAGCACCTACCTTCCGTACCTACTCTACCCAAAAATCTACCCAGAACTCTACCCAGCACTCTGCCCACTCTACCCGGGTAGGGTAGAGGAGGTCATTACTCTACCTGGGTAGGGTAGAGGTGTGGGAAATGCTCCTCTACTCTACAATGCCCAAGTATGGTCAGGAGGACGGTCCCTTAGGTGCTTACCTGGAGCTGCAATTCCACTAGAACAAGAATATGTCTTCTCACAGTACTTGCAGCGCCATTCCTCCTTTCCAGTCCGTTGATTGTAGTATCTGGTTTCAATCTCGCCCTCTGGCATATGAGAGAAAACCTAAAATACTACGTCACACCTTGCACTCTAGAGCCGTGTTGCAAGCCGTACAATCAGCCGAAGGCTGCAAGTCTGTGATCGATGGGGTAGCCATTCCAGGAAGACCGCCAATACTTCTGGTGGAATTATCGCTGGACTGAGGACTCCGAAAACGTCGTTGCGGTCTCGACGATCGTGTTTCTCTCCGACCCGCCACGCCTTGGATGTGTGGACGCTGCACCGGCCGACGGCAAAGAGGGCTTCCATCCACAGAATCATAGTCCCGCTCACCGTTCTCGGTTTCTTCCCCCGGTTCAGAGTCCGGCTCGACCACCCATTGCTCGAGGTACCAGCGTGGTCGAGCGGGCGAAAGCATTAAGTAGGCATAGTCGTCAGCGTGACGTCTCCTTCCTTCGATATGATACCTCCGAATCGAATCCCACCCGTCCGTAGTCGATATCGGCTCCGACTCGTTGTTCCCTGGTTAGCCGTAGAGACACATACCTTCTCCAGCAACATCCGAGCATTGACAGACGCCCAGTTGAGTTAATTTGTGTGTCAGTGAGGCAGTTTCCCCTACACGGCCTCGTGAACGATGGTCGTGCTGGATAGCGGCCAGTTTGGCCCTTGCCCTGGCCGTGGAGGAATCGTCTTGCGAGTCCCTCCCGCCCTTGTGGAACCTAGCAGCCAGGTAAGAGTAATCCACACGAGTTGTGCTGCTTCGGACAGCTGAGGCATCAGAATTTGAGGCGATTGAATGGACCGTTGGCTGCACCAGAGGTGAGGGAGCTAAAGCCCGGAAGAGCCGCGAGCTCTGTAGCGTTGGTGGAATTGGCGTCCCCAGCACTATCCGGGGCTGGGTCGGCTGGCTAATTGACTCTCCGAATAACTGCCTGACTGTAGGAGTTTGCTGTAGCCTCTCTGGAGATGTGGGCTGGGTTCCGCATCTCTCCTTAGCAGGCGACAGGCCTGCGGCACCCTCAGTTCTCTTCGATGCAGGTCTCTCAGCCGGGGAAGGACGGACGGCGAGGTCCCTCAATGTTTGGATCACGCCTCTGGACCTGGAGTACTTTAATTAGTTAGTATTGAACATCTTACGTACTGGGAGACAGGGCTCACATGAGAACTGCGCTGATTGCGACAGTCCAGGCAGTTCCTCGTGTGCCCAACCGATTTCCTTTTGCCAACGATATCACCTGCTGGTTTCTCCTCGCCACAGAGGACACAGACGATGGAAATTATGTCATCTTGAAGCTATTGAGGAGTAGACTTGGGACGCATTATCACCAAGAGGCGTTGTGCGGGATGAAGTGGATATTTCCCAATTTCCAAGTAAACAAACCAGGGTCATGGCAGCTATCGGAGAGTGGCCCACTTTTGGACGGCCGTCATCCAGTTGCGGTACGTTTTGCGGCTGGCCATACAAAACGTGAACCAATCAGAGAGCAGGAAACTTATTGCACCAAACCCTCATTATTCGGGGAAAACTTAAGAACAGGAGAAGCAACCCCACGCAGGGTTGCGCAAAGAGCCTTGAGGAACGAAAGCTTGAGGAGACATTAAAAGAAAAAAAAAGGTATTAAAAGAGTGCGCGATGGCATGGGGCACGGCTGAAAGGTGTTTGCAAGCTTTTCCATGTCGGAAACAGTCTCTGGTGACACCTGGTGACACCAACTTCTGATAGTGGCTTGCATTGGGGGCCATTTATTGGCAACGGTGCCTAGGGTATCCCTGATGCACGACAGGTCATGAATGTGCAAGATGGGATAAAAAGGTGGATGGGAGCAAGATTAGATAGTAATTGACTTCTAGACCTTGGTAATTTGATCACGCCTTCATTTTTCTCAACACATATTTATTAAGGCATTTGAGAGTCTTACTGTACGTCATGGCAACCTCTACGGTCCCGACTCTAGTTCATGTTCCAGTTCAGAGAGAGGCAATTCACACACAACCACAGCATCGCCCGGAGCCTTATCAGTGAGGTGAATCGTGCCGGACAAGATGGCGAATACGACGAACGATTTTCCCAGGCCATGATGCCTCTCATGAAGCAGCATGAAGCGGTGTGCCGAAATTGGTCTGGGGCCTTTTGCGAAATTTGCGGGCAATTTGCGACAGATATCCTACAGAGCCCAATATCTTTGTTGCACACATATCAGCCTCGCATTGTGGTTTGGGTAACGGCTTTATGTGGAAGAGGGCAGTGTGAGATCGAGGTGCGACAGGAGAT